GTTTGAAGACTACGGGCGCTAGCCACCCGCAGGATGCACCTTAAGCTAATTACATTTAACCCCCTATAATTAACCGACCACCGCGTCCGTCCTCTCGGGCCAGCCACTAATTTCCAGGGGCGTTAGTTAGTGGCTGCCACCGCCCACTTGGTGGCGTACACACCAAGCTTCCGGTTGCTGATCTCGGCCCCATTAGATGCCCATAGGCCTACCAATCAGCCGTCGTGGCCTCGCCCCGTGTTAGGGACTAATCATAGGCTTGATGACTGCAGTCCTCCCTGCCAGTATTAGGGGTTGGCAGTGAGCTTGCAGGCACTAGCCTATCAGGGTGCCCTGTCTAGGGCCTAGATGCGCGTCTAGGCCTGCTAGTCAGGTGGTTTTCAAAATCATTCCCTGTATTTGGGGGGGAGCTAGGCTCCGATGACGGCCCTAGTTAGGGACTTGCTTAAGTAGTGTATAACCACTACATTAGGCTTGACTCTATATCGTTAGAACCTTGACGGGTGCACAGTAGGATAGTGGGACATTGGCACCCCATGCCGGCCCTGGTGGGTGTTCGCAGGATCTCGCTTAACTAGTGGCTTGGCTTGCAGTAGAGAGTTCTACCCCGCACCAAGCCTTACTAATTAGGCTCAGCCCCTATTACATGGGGGCTTTCATGGGTAAGAAGTGGCAGGTGCCAGCGGTGGGATTCGAACCCACGCACCCCTAATGTGTGCGGCCTTGGTTACCAGTCTTACCAACTGGGCCACGCTGGCGCTGCTTGAGATTAAATACTGTAATAATTTCAATTCTTGACAATATCTTGTAGCTGTAAAGTTGTCATTCAATTCATTATTCTCATCAGATGAAAACTTCAGTTATATACTCATCATCATTGAGATTCCTGCAGGATTCATCTTATTTATACTAAAATCTTCAAGAATCTTCTCAATATAACAGCTCTGTGTAACTGCTAGATTATTATTTCTCTGATATTTAATCTTTATTTTAAGATATGACTTAATCTCTTTAATATTATTTATCTCAAATCTCTTTATAATCTCTCTCAATACTCAGTCTAATTGCTGTTCTTAAGATCTCATTATCTGATAATCATCAATATACAATATCAGATAGATCTTGTAAACAGAGTAATATAGAAATTTATTATCATAAGATAATATCTTGAATCTTAATGTAATGAGGTGTTTTATTACTAGAAAATATCATACTCTTATAACTTGCTTCATTTTATATAGACTCTAATGAAGTAGTCTTATCAAGCTCTCTCTGCTATGCTTAACATCTGTAAGCAGTTGTATATAGATTATCTTATTCTGTGATAGTATATCATTTAAAAACACAGATATATAGTCAATCAATTTAATCTTTCATTCTTTAACAGTTGATATAGTGAATAGACTGTGTGATGTAGACTCTGATATCACTGCAGTATATAATCTTATATAATGAATACTCTGCTATTGCAAGAACTCTCTAATCACTCAGTGAGCTTTAAAGTGAATGATTTCTCTCTTATTATTGAATTTCTGATTATATACTTATTTATCTGTAAGAATATTCATTTTCAGAGTCTTCTTAATGATAATATATATCTTCTTCTATTCAAATATCTTAATCTTCTTTTTCATTGTCTTATATTAATAGTCTCAGTCTGAGCTTCTCTTGACTTCTGTCAGTATAGTTGATTAGTCTGTCAGAACACTTAGAATAGAATCATTCTTATTAACAGAGTCTTCAGACTCTTCATTCATAATAAGCTGTGTCTTATTATTTAAAAGATAGATTGAATTAATTATACTCTCTAAGTTCTTATTAATAATTATCTTCAAAATATCTGACTTTTTCTTCACTAGATGTTATAGTAAGCAGTGCTGTCATTTCTCTCTGATATTCAGAATGTTTAATTTATTAGATAATTCATTAAATTCTCTTACTGTATTTACAGGTGTATTTATACTTATGTCAAGAGCTTCATTAAATATGATATCTTATACAATCTCAAGACAATGTGCAACAGAATCTCACATATGATATTGATATAATTCTTGATATTCAATCAGCTATTATTTCTTACTGCCAGTTCTATCTGTGAGCTTATTCAATACTTTCAAATTCTTCTTGTAGATCTTGTATCTTTATCTCTATATTCAATGAACAGAAGATTGTACTTCAGTTCATACTTTAAAAGATATAAATAATGTTTCTTTCTTATATTCAAATATCTTTATTGATATTGAAGATATGTTGATTATTATAATCACAGCTTATATTACTTCATCTCAAAGTTCTCTTTCTAATTCACTATTAAATAGTAGACTTCATATCTTTTCTATAACTATTTAATTCATATGTTTTACTGAGTCATTTGATTATAATGTATCAGATGTAGTCATTTCATATGTTATTTCTTTACTCTGATAGTAGATCTTAAGTTCTTGACTTTTAAACTCTTCTTCATCATCTCAGTATAGAGTTTTAACTTAATATTATATAGTTATCTCAATATCTGTGATAAAGTTTATTAATCTTATAGTAGATTCTTTCTTTCTTATTATAAGAATTACTTATCTATAACAGATTGTATTATTTATTATACTCAATCAGTAACTTACATTCTCTCTAGTGAGAGTGTTATTTCTGTTAAAAAGTGTTTTTTCACTCTCTGTCAGATTAATGAAGAATCTCATTACTAGCTTAACAGCTTATATTATAGATGCAAAGATTAAATATATTATTTTTATCTAAATACAGACTTTACAGAATGATAAAGCTCATTGATTAATAATTCTCATCTCTAGACATGAATCTACTATTATTTTTACAATATTTACAGAATTTAGATATTCTAGCTTTTAATATTATTACATCATTATAAGTTCTATAATCTTTGTATTATTTCTTTCAGATAGTGTTAATATTATGTCATCTTTTATCTGTAATATATTCACAGATTTAAAATCATCATTGAGTATAGTAAATCAGATCAAGTCTCTGTATATAACTGATCTTTTCATTTTATAGATATTATTCTCATTTAATCTTGCTGTAAATAAGAACATACAGTTGAGAGATATAATCAATATAGTATAATTATTCTTATATATTAACTACTTATAGATATAACTCTGATATACAAGCTTACTTATACTTATAAGATTCACTTCTAACTTCAGAACATAGCAGATATTATTTAACAGTATATTTATCTCTTTTACTGAAATCTTTATATCTTCTATAGCTGTAGCAGAGATCACTGTTTTATCTGTCATTTTTAATATTACTTTCATCTTCTGAGATTTTATCATGATAAGATCTCTGTGAGATATAATATAAGTATCTGATTCAGAGTCTAGAATTCAGATATCTTTTTCTATCTGATTACTTATATAGGTCTTTTTCTTAATACAAAATACTTACTTTATAATATTATAAATAGAAGCAGTATCTGTATTCTCTGCATTCTTGTCTTTATTCTTATTTCTATTTATATTGAAGTTTGAAGAATGTTTCTCAGAGTATTTCTTTCAATAGTCAGTCTGAATATAATTAATCTTTTGATAATAATAGCAGATTCTTGCATTATTATCTCTATATTCAGGTTTAAATTCAGTGTTCTTATTCTTATTATTATCTTTATTCTTATCTTTCTTATTCTTATCTTACATGTTATTAATAGAATTTCTAGATATATCAGTATTTACTTCATTCACAGCAGAGAGCTGTAAAAGAATATTATAACACAGACTTATAAAATCATTCTCTAAGAATTGAGTATTATCTTTATCAATTTAATTCATTTAATTTCTTATAAATGAGACTCAATTTCTGTTAACTTCTGTAAGTAATCTATTAAAAAATATGATATCTTCAATCTTATATCTCAGACAGATATAATCAGTTCTGATAATAATTAATTATTTAATAAAAGCTCTGTTAAATTCTTTACTTTTAAAAATTATTTTAATAAACTTTTTAAATAAATAAGTTCTATATATAGCAGATCTCTTGAAAAAGTTATTCTCTATAATAGTTTATAGAGTATAAGCTGATAATTTGAACTTCTTAAGTATAGTGAAATAAGTCTTGATCTGCAGAGTAATTACAGATTATATATAATTATATAATCAAAGATTATATTCTTTTCAGAAATATTATATATTTATAATAATATTCTTATTAAGATTATTATCTTCAAGAATATCATTGATTTCAGACTACTTTATAGTTAAAAAGATTTTCTCTCTTTATATTAAGTAGTTAATAAATTCAGTGAGAACTATCAGTCTTTTAATAAGTCTTACTTAACTTTTGAATTCTTCAAGAATTTTTATTATAACAGATATCTTCTCTTTTTATTAAAGATATTCTGTCAGATCTGCTTTTATCTTATTATCTGCAGAGTCATCTCTACTAATCTTTATCTACTTAATCTCATACTGAAGTCTTGTAATTTCTAGTCTTATATAAGTCTTCTTACTCACTGAGCTATTATTATTCTGATTACTTAAGCTTTCTACATTATCTGACATCTCACTGATATCTTCAACTGAGTTTTTATATATATTAAACTTATCAGACTGTTTCTCTGTGATAATTTCATTCAGCTCAAACATCTCTGAGACAGTTACTTTTCAGTTTATTACAGATATTAATAAATCTATACTCAATTCTTTTTATACTTCAGATATTTGTGAATTTCTTCTTCTATATATTAATATGTAATTCTTCATTAAGTTAGACTTTTCACTCAATCTCAGATTCATTATAAGTTTAATTAATTAATAAATCATCTAGACACACTTGTAATAATGTATAAAAATATCAATTTAGCACATTATTACAGTTATTTGTTGCTTATGAAGGGCTTCATAATCTCTTGAAGAATAATGTTATTGTGTTGTAATCTAACTACACGAGTTACACTAAATGGATAGATTGGGGTGGCACGTGACTAGGGTAGGTGTAGTAATCACCAACAAAAACGAGCGTTAGGTGGTTGATTACGTTAGTAATCACCAACACAAACCACTTTACGCGTGATCGTCCGGCCCGTTGTAATTCCTGTACGCGCTCGCGACTCCGACGCGTTTCGCTCCCACTTGGACTTTTACTTTGAGCTTCATTTGCAAGAGCCCAATTGTCCCAATCGCCCTTCGTTATGCTCCTGATCGAGCTCCAGGAACTTCTTTAAGAGGGACAATTTGCACTTAACGAACTGTTCTTGCACCTCTTAACGGAGTGCCCTGATATTAGAGTTGATAGCCACCATGTCTAGTCTGTTTGACGCCATTCTACAGTCCGAACTGGGCTCTAACCCAGGAAGCAGGGAAAGACCGTTTCCGTCCTCAGATCAACCACCCAGCTCCCGACATCATGCTCCATCAGAAAGCAATGGCCAAATGAGTGAGGCGGAGGGATTCGCAGATGATCAAGTTGTTGGCCCGGGCGGTTCCCTCGCTAGACACCCAAGACATCCCCTCTACGGGAGAGGACCTCCACCTGTCCAGGATGTTGCAGGCGAAAAAGTGCAACAAGCGTTCGAAGAATTATTGGAGACACATGTTGAAGAGCCCTCATCCTCAGGCGTTCCTCCGTCGTCCGAAATACCCAGCAACAAATACTACATTGCGCAAATTCATGGTTTACAACGATACCAGCTTTCCACCCTCTACGTCGACTTTACACACCTAACCTCCCTTTCAAACCAAATTCTGGCTGATGCTATTGCTAATCAATATTACCGATTCCAACCTTACCTGACCAAAGCTCTCCACAATCTTATTGCCAAATACGAACCCCAGTACTTCAGAGAGCATAGACAGATAAACAGCACGTCATCCCAGGCCGCCACGTCAGCCGTAGCAGTCGACAGCACGGAGCCTGACTCGTTAGCAGGAAAGACAAGGCACCAGCAAACAGACAAGGTGTTTTCATTGGCTTTCTACAACCTGCCGCTTGTCTCGAGACTGCGACAACTCCGAACTGCTCAGATAGGGAAGCTGCTTTCAATATCTGGGACTGTGACAAGAACTTCTGAAGTTCGCCCAGAACTTGCGTTAGGCACTTTCATTTGCGAGGGCTGTAACGCAGTTGTTGAAGAAGTGGAACAGACATTCAAATATACTGAACCCACACAATGCCCAAATCTGACATGTGGGAATCGTGTCGGCTGGCGACTAGATATCCGTCAGAGCACGTTTGTCGACTGGCAGAAAGTAAAGTTGCAGGAATCGTCGCATGAAATACCAACAGGTAGCATGCCACGCACGATGGACATTATTTTACGAGGAGAGATGGTCGATCGAGCCAAAGCCGGAGAGAGGTGTATTTTCACTGGCACACTTATTGTTGTCCCGGACGTTAGCCAGCTAGGTCTCCCTGGTGTCCGACCAGAAGCTACTAGAGACAATGGGAACTTTCGCGGCAGTGACGTCGGTGGAAGTGGAGTGAGCGGCTTGAAATCACTGGGCGTTCGCGACCTCACATATCGTCTCGCGTTCCTTGCCTGTATGGTAACTCCTGATCTCACCACTCCTGGCCGCCCAACTTCCCAGCAACTGAATGGCCAATCACAAAACATCCTTGCTTCCTTGAATCAAACCGACCAGCTAGAAACCTACGAGGATGAGGCGCAGGACCGACTACTCGAAACACTTACGCCTTACGAAGTACAGGATCTTAAAAAATTAGTTCATTCGGACTACATCTATTCGCGATTAGTGGACTCGATTGCTCCCATGATTTATGGACACCGAGCTATTAAAAAGGGCTTACTATTGCAATTAATTGGCGGAGTATCCAAAACCACGCAACAGGAAAACATGCAAATCCGTGGAGACATTAACATATGCATAGTTGGAGACCCTTCCACGAGTAAAAGTCAATTTTTGAAGTGAGGCATCTGAAAATTCCCTTATAAACCGAACTCGACTAACATTATGAAAGGTACATCTGTTCACTGAACCCTCGAGCTGTATACACTAGTGGAAAAGCATCTTCAGCCGCTGGGTTAACTGCTTCAGTCGTCAAAGACCCAGAGACTGGCGAGTTTACCATAGAAGCTGGAGCTTTGATGCTTGCGGTGAGTTTCTGACTACTGTTTTTTACAACCTCTGGCTGTTTGGTGTGATGATCCTGACACTTAGTATCTAGAACGGAGGCGGCATTTGCGCCATCGACGAATTTGACAAGATGGACATTAGCGACCAAGTCGCTATCCACGAAGCAATGGAACAACAAACTATCTCCATTGCTAAAGCCGGCATTCACACTACCCTTAATGCACGCGCAAGTATTCTTGCCGCTGCAAACCCAATCGGTGGGAGATACAACCCCAAAGCCACCCTTCGGGCAAATCTCAATTTCAGCGCCCCTATTATGAGTCGCTTTGATCTTTTCTTTGTTATCCGTGATGACCCCAATGAGGCCGTGGATAGAAACCTCGCTGAACACATCGTCAATGTCCATATGAACCGCGACGATGCTGTCGAACCGGACCTCACCACCGAGCAGCTGCAAAGGTATATCAGGTTTGCCCGAACCTTTCGACCTGTTTTCACCGAAGAAGCCAAGGCGTTGCTCGTGGAGAAATACAAGGAACTCCGTGCCAACGACGCTCAAGGTGGACTCGGAAGAAGTAGCTATCGCATTACAGTCAGACAGCTAGAAAGTTTGATCCGATTATCTGAAGCAGTTGCAAAGGCCAACTGTGTTGAAGAGATCGTTCCTAGTTTCGTCCGCGAAGCGTTCGATCTTCTCAGGCAGAGCATTGTTACCGTTGAAAAAGATGACGTGGAGGTTGATGATGAAGCTGGTGACCAACCTGCCAATAACTCCTCTGAGATTCGCGATGGCACTCCTCGCTGGGATAGGGATAGAGATAGCCCGATGCGCACAGGTGATGATGACGATCATGTGAATGGACCTGGTGCTACAACACAGCAGCCTCAAACACAGAAAACGAAGATTACATACGACAAATATATGCGAATTCTTAACATTCTTGTCCGGCGCGTTAACGATGATGAGGCCAATGCAGGGGAAGGGGTGGAGCAGGAGGATTTGATAGTTTGGTATCTTGAACAGATTGAATCGGAGTTGAACAGTGAGGAGGAGATGGAAGCTGAGCGGTCACTGGCCGTTAAAGTACTCAAGAGGATGGTTAAGGTTAGCTGCTTCTACTTGTCTTGTTTGGCATTATCCAGCCTTCTGCCCCGTTGATAAGCATTTGGAACCTAGACATCTAACTTGGCAATGCAATTCAACAGGACAATATCCTCATGCTCATCCGCGGTGAAGGCCTGGTCGAGTCCGACAACTCACAGCAACTGCAACAGGAGCAAAGAGCTGTGTACGTCTTGCATCCTAACTGTGCGATCGAGGAGATATAAGATTATTCGTCACATTGCTTCTAACGATGCTCGGTTATCAAAATCCCGAAACGCACCACACGCGATATTTCCCTTTCCTCGATAGTTGTGATTGATATACGAGATCATGCTTGGTGTAGGATTGTTAGTCGGTCAGGGCTGGGATTTGAATTATTTGACCAGAGGCGCGTTTTCAGTATCATTATTTACTGCTTGCATACAGACGTACCTTATAACGTTGATGATTCATTTTCCTCCGCTTTTCGCGGATATTGTGTAATTCATAATATAAGATTTCACGAAGCTCAATTGTATTCAGGAGTCGCTTCTCTGCGGCTCATTAAAACCCGAATGCGAACTCGGGCCTTGCGCCTCCACTAAAAATTCGTGAACCAAGACAAAACTTGCAAAGTTGGTTAAAAACAAATCATCGCCTGCCGTCTGTACTGTGTCCCGGAATAGTTCAATGTTGAAGAGAATCTAGGGGGTCCAGTACTATGCAGTATCGGCAAACAAAAGGGAATGAGCGCATGTTGCTCCCGAGAGGAGAACACAAAGTGTCTTCCCAACTTGAAGAGAAACACAGAAAGCTTCCAGCATCGCCAGCAGGGAAGCAGAAAGAAAACTGAACAAAAAGAAAGTAGGACTCGGATGAGTCCATAAACTATATTGGCTTTTTCATGCGTGAGCATCAACTTAAAGAGGAATGAATAGTTGGTGAGCGAACAAGAGTCTTAGCCCCGTCCATTTCTGAGCTTGTAGAACAAAACTAGAAAAGACAATAGGAAAAAAGAACAGGAATCCACAATGAAAATACTAGAGCCTCATGTGCACAGGCAGTCAGTTCACCTAATTGCGATTCAGCTTTTCAGGAGTCTCCGGTAGCCTCAGGGCTTTCGGGATTGAAACCCAGAGCTAACCCTACCCAGGTAGCTCCGGACCGACCAGATTCAACGGCCCCTAAATGCCGAAAATGTCACTGCCCTCGCTGGCTACCGCAAACTTAGCATCTTTAGAGGTCCCTGGACACATCAGAACCCACCTCACGGGTAGCTTGGCTAGGCCCGACAGGCTCACCAGTGCCATTTGCAATAACACTTTTGGTGCCTTTAGCAAGGGTACCACCCCCAATGCTAGCAATCTCACAGGTTTCGCCATCATTAATGGTTCCAACATCCCCAACCTTATCTGCAGAGCTCTCAGTACTCTCCGTATCCTTAACGTTCCCAACACCGGGAGGATTGCTACGGGAATCTGCGAGGCCATTAATGTTGCTAGCCGCGCTGGCACAGGTATCAGCCTCAGCTTGTCCGGGTGCCTTGCCAGTCTCGCCATCAAACACAGTAACTGGCGCTGCTTCATGCCTCCGTTCGGCTTCCTTGTCCGAAATAAATCTATACCCTCTTTCCATACTGTCATCCTGTTCAATTCCAAGAACAGTACAAAGGTTCGCGAGTGTATCCCGTGACGTAAGGACCTCAGAACCAATCACCTGTTCAATTCCATCCGTTTTTTCGTTTTGTATGAGCTGAATTCGGTCATCGATGCTATTTTGTACTACAATCCTGACAAACTCGACGTTCCTCTGTTGTCTAATGCGGAAAATCCGAGAAAATGCCTAGCATGCGGTTAGTAATAAAGATAGATGACTGGTACAGTAATTAATGTACATGTACATGCCTGTTGCTCCATGGCTTCGTTCCACCAGAGATCAACCAAGATGCATTTATTTGTAGCTGTAAGGTCAACCCCAATACCTGCTGTTCTGAGAGAGCATATCAAAATGCGGGCTGCCGGATCTTTAGAAAATGTCCTAATATGTTTGTCTCGTGCTCGAAGTGGCATTTGGCCAGTGTGCTTTATTGGATCCAGTGAGTGAGTTGGGAGAAAAATATTACTAGGATCAGAAGAAACTAGGGCTTAGATAGGCTTACCAACAGATTGTCCCCAGCCATTTTTCTGACACATTGAACTCAGAATAGAAGCCATTCCCAGAAATTGGGTGAATATCACCACTTTTGTTCGGCTGGATCTCCTGAACCAATCCGCCAGGCAGGAGCTGATTGCTGTTAATTTTGTTCCTGGCATTTTATGGCCTGCACGGTCCACCTAGTCCATAACCGTTTCCTTAGGGTCTCTGCTTCCAGAACCCTTTGTATTGGGTTTCCCTCTTGACCTTTTGCGAGGGTTTAACGGCACAATTTGGTTTCCTTCAGATTGGGGCGTGGCCCTAGCAATGAGCGATTCCAAAGACCCACAGAACATCGTTTGGCCGACAGGAGCACCACAATCACAAACATACCCTTCCTAAATCATTGTCTCCTCAGCACAGTCTTGACAGTAAATATGTAGGCACGATGTGAGATGGGCTGAGATTGGTGGGCAGTGGCATCTGATGCATTCTTTTGACTTATCCTGCTCTTTGCCGGGGAGCTTGAGAGTATCAACAAAATCGTTGACCAGTTTTTGCGACACTGGAACTCGGAGTATTGAGAGTTGAGCTTTATCGGCTGATGATGATTGTTCTTGCTCATTTTCTAGCAAGTTTTGCTCTCTAATAAGATCTTCGATCAAATTGCACATCTGCTCATCCTCCGGTTCTGAACATTCGCGGATGCTTAATTGAAGTGACTGTACCTAATCAATGTTAGAAAGTCTTTGAGCACCATCTGTGCTAAAAGTAGATGGCAAGTAAACATCCGCAGCCGGGGAAATAGGGTAAGTTTATTTTGACACTCCATTCTGTAGTTTTTAACAGGCTTCGAGAACACTGTCTTTTGTAAGCATATATCGGCTTGTTGACATTCAATAAGATGGAGGGACTACCGTGATTTGTTTCCAGGAACATCACAATAACCCTCTAGCAGAGCTCCCGTTCGGTTGTAGTGAAATTAACCACCAAGTCTCTGCCCTCTACACCTGGAAGTTTGAGGATAGGATGTCCGAACAACGTTTCATCATGACCACGATTCAGCATGCACTTGCGCAGCAGCTGGTTAATCCACGGGACTTCGGTGCCATGGTACTGGAAGTAGGCCTCGTTAGAATGTCTTAGATGAAGGCTCTGCGAACAATCGTACCTTGAGGCACTCCCTCGCGAAGTGTGAGAAGTCACCTCCTACTAGTACCTAGAGAAAATCCAAGTAAGGGTCTCCTGATAATGACTATGCTAAAGTAGGTCTATGAATATGAGTAACTAGATGTCATGGAATGTTAAAAATACCTACCCCCTGTTAAACCCGAATGGGGAAGAAAGACGAAAAACAAAATCCGAAAATATAAGTGAGAACCCCCCTCCCTGTTCTGATCATACGTCATCATATGTGAATAATCAATAAATAGAGAAAAGGGAAATAATGAAGCGGAAGAAAATTCGTGAGGCATCCTGGGCTCCCTTCAAAACCTTTACGAACGTAGGGCCTCAGCCTAATAAAAACATCATCATCATCTACGCAATATAGAGGATCATCCGATCTCCACTGCTCTCATACATGATACAGACTCACCCCCCCGCCGTACGGCTAGCCGGGTTATCGTAATCCACCCGCATATCTCCGGGGCCGCGGCTATTGCCGCTACTGTCATCTTCACCATCATCATCAATCTCCTCCTGGATCCGCCCCATAGAAACAGCAGGCTGGACTGAGCGCTTCACCGAACCACTTCCACTACTACCAGCCTGCCTTAGAATCGCCATTCCCCCACCACCAACTCCTCTTTCTTGCATCTCCGGCTCCTTGTCCTCCGGCTCACTGGGTGGCGTGTCAGGGAATGATGAGACTTGATAGTCGAACACATTTATCGTATTGCTGTCGAACGCAGAACTTTCCGGGAGGAGGCTAGCGGGGATCCGGTCATCCCACGAATAGTGCTTCTTGTGATTGCTGTTTCCAGCCGCATTGCGACCTGTTTGTCTGGTTCCAGTAGGCTCTTCTCCTGACACCGATGATGAAGAAGGTGCGGGTGCGTGTTCCAGGCCTGAAGCTTTCCCAGATGTTTGTTTTTGGGCACTTGAGGTCTCATCAAACTCTCCGCCCAGGGGTTCGAGGTCAGGCCACGAATTGTCGCTACCTTTTGCGGGTTCTTCTTCAGCTTGTTGTTGGAGCTTTTGAGCAAATTCCTCTCGTTCGCTTTCGAAGACTTTATTGTCCGCGTCGACAAATGCCTGTATCATTTGGGGTTCAGCGTTAGACTTTAATAAACACTTACGTATGAAAAAGAAAATAATAATAAAAAAATAATAACAAATAAATAAAGAGGATAACTCACTTGTAGTTGTGGCGGAAGAGGCCCCTCCTTAAAGTTGACCGCATTTTCGTTCGCGTATACAAGCAACACAGAACGAGCCTCTTCTTTCGCAGCGCGAAGCACCTCTATTTCTCGGACAGGCCGCACCGTATACCCGGCCACATCCATATTGGAAGGCAAAGGAACCCTTGGTTTCCTTAGTTCCTGGGGGATAGCTGAACATTGATGCAACGAAGGCACCACAGGAGTCTGCGTAGATTCTGCGTGCCGAGCTGTGGCATCATCAACGGAAAAACTGATTCGCCACCACTGCCACTCATCGGGCGCTGAGTTCGTAGAACTGCGCTCGTCGGTTCCTTCAATGCTCATCTCACGCCGTCTTAATACGTACGTAACATGAGGATGGGTACAAACGCCCCGCAATGTGTATTTGTTATGTGGTGGTTTTGCTGGGTCGTTAGACGCGGTGGTAAGCTCTTTCGAATACCGCCTTAATGCCTCGAGGGCCTGCACTCTCCTCTCCTCTAACGCTGTAGCTAGTATTAGTAAAATGGTTAACATTTTTGGAAGGGTGAAAAATGTTCCATACATCGTAGTTTCTGATCAATCTTTTCCGTGAGAGCCTTCAGTTCTTTAGTGAGATTCATAGCAGCCTCATGGGACACGACGGTTTGTTCCTGCATCTCTGGATCCCCAACAGACCCATTTACGAGGTTGTTCCGCGACGCGACTTGCAGTGCACTCACGGCTAAATCAAAAGTATTTCTGGTCTGGGATGTTGAATGGTCAATCGTTGATGCCGAGAATAGTCGCATCAGATGCTGCAGTTTATCGACCTCCACACTGGTCTCAATTCTGCGCTTGCGAATCTCGCGCGAGATGTCCCTACACGCTTCCATATATCTGTCCGGGTACCACACAGCAGGGATCTTAACATCGACGGATTTCTGCGTGTCCGTAGAGTTCAACTGCAGAGTAAACACTTCCCCAATACGATCTAGCCATATATCATCAAGTTCTGAGTCTGCCGAATCTTGCCACATTGAAATATCGATAGCATCGTACAGCGTTTCCACGAGGTCTGAATGAACGGGAAGTTCCAACGCCAAGAATTCTTTATCAATCGGTTCTTCATCCACAGAAAGCGGCCGTTTATAGGCCAATGATGAAAAAATTGTAGCTAGCTGGTTATTCGGCGTTGCTGCGACGGCAGCCCGTTGCCACGACTCCAAAAATTGACCAACATTGTATTCAGTGTTCCAGCTCTGGATAGATTTAAGATTGGCAAGGGCATCGATGCTTCCAAATGCGCGATGTGTAGAATCCAAAAACGTCATGAGTCTCTGCACTTCGAGTAAAACGTCATCGTGCCCACTTTCATCCATATAACCATCGTCGGCGAGAGTCACCAAGCTAGGAAGATTAATAGGTTGTCCATTCCACCACTGCGGGTCACTACCATAGTCATCGATGACCTTATCCCGAAGCAGCAGAGCTTCCCTCGCTAGCGGAATTGAATGGAGAATCGTAAGGAAGCCCGCTAGGTAATCTGCCTCGTCTGAAGGGCGAAGGAACACAGGTTCATTACTGACCCTCATCCGCTCCTCCGGATCTGGATGCATACACACTTCGCGAGCAGCGGGCTCTAGAAGTGTCAAAGCCCAAGCAGTTTCTTCATAATGATTCTGGGTTGCCGGCGCTAGCTTGGTTTGATTAGTGTTGATAACACCGGTCTCCTGACCGCCGCCATCGATGGAAATATCACCATTACCACCGAGTTCTGCATTCAGCGACAGAGCCACCGCCCTTTGGAGTTCGTGCTCCTCCTGCTCCGCAAGAGACATATGCTGACTTGGACCCGTCCCCGCTATAACACTAGTCAGAACCTTGACCAACATTCTACGGACAACGAACTTTTCGACAACTTACCAGCAGGTTTATTCAGCAGGCCTTCGATCGGTTGGCCTACCTTGGCTTCATCAGTGCGTTCGCGAGAGCCTATTCTGGATGGGGGTCGTGAAGGAGCCGTTCCATATCCAACGGGATGAACCGGATCGGAGTCGATTCTAAATGCTAGCAACATATATCAGTATGCGCTTGGTAGATCGCCTAGCCAGGAATACGATATCCCATCGCTTGCGGAACGTAGCCATATGAACTCACAATGGATATTTTGATTCTGATACCCATATCCCTCCTGTTGGCTGGAAGGTGGCATAGGCCAAGCTACCGTTGGCTTGATATAAACATCAGTCAACAACTATCTCTAAACCAACAAGCTGCGAAGCTTGCAGAGTATACGAAGGATGCTCACTTCAGGCTGAATACTATCAGGGTTTTCGAAGTAGGCATTGATAGCTCTATTGGAATCGCGGTTATTTGCCTAGACATATCATATAGCGCCAAAGACCATACAACGTTAGCGATGATGTCCCACGAAAAACATAATTCACGGTTGGGGCAAGTGTAACGTAAACGAAAGATGGCAACGAAAGTCCGAAGAAGAGAAGGCATGGCAATCCTGGGATCCTATTTTACATACCTCGAGGAAAGCTACTGCCTTCTCGCGGGACGCATTGGTGAAAGATATAAAGTTCTCGATCGCATCTTCAGGCAAATCGACAGAGGTCATCATCTCGGCCACTGGCTTCCGCGCAGTAACTGAGAGGGTGGTGCTTTCGGAGCAGTCTGCGGGTTAACTAGGCGGAACTGGAGCTTGCTCTTGGTGGGGAGATAGCTGGGGCTGCTGTTCTTGTTGCGGCGGCGGCCTAAGTATGCGGAGAGGTTCAAAGCAAAGCCAACATTCAGGCCAAACCCTTAGGTGCTAGCCGCGGGGCAGTCAGTGGTTTGAGAAAACTTAGTAAAGACTAACAGACATGCGCTTTATTTTCCTCATGGAGTATTGTCGGTTTGCTGTACAGTGCGCGCTGGGCTTGACTGGTTTGGGTGATTGTTTGCACACGGTTGATGGTGGTGATGTTGGTTTGAGGTGGTGATGATGAGCTCCGTCCGGACTTTGCTGCAGGAAGGAAGGGGAGCTCTGCCAAGAAACAGCCGATATGCGGTAAATAAAGAGCAAAACCAAACAATATTCCCCATAGCCATGAGCAGGCAGCTTGCAAGGTGCCTTTGGCATGTTTCAGACTATCTAACTTTATCTAAATATTTATAAACCAGTAAATTGAAGGCAAAGGTTCATATAGGGAGGGGATGGTTCTCTTGAATGTTGCATCTAGAAGAAGCATTGATAAGGCCGCATGCGTTATTATATTTCCATCTTTCAGGGAAATTTCATCAGCAACAGATCCTGGTGTTAATAATCATTACTTTTTCGGGTACTTCTGCTAAATTTGTAGATATTAAGTATCAATATGGAGATATCTACGGAGTAGTTTAACTCAGTTATAACAATTCGGGCGGTCCTGTTTCAAACAAGTGCCGCCAGGGGCTCTTTTGGATCTTCCTTTATGTCGATAATCGCCTTCAGCAATTGATACCTTCCAACCCCTGACGATTGTTTTGCACGTCCCCGACGGCTTTGACAAAGCCGTCCTTGGTTTCTCTCGTTTCATCAAACCTGATTTCCCATGTCGTAGCAAATGGATGAGAAACAATACATAAGAAAGATAAGGTCCCCGGAGAGAGAGAAAAAATACCCCGACAAAACATCATAGTCCTTGTACGAAACCGCCCAAGTTCGAAGCGTCAGAGGCATTACCAAATAAACAATACCATCCAACATCATATAGTATCAAACCCGCACCTTGGAAAGGATTCCGCCTATCGTATCAACAAATCGGAAAATCTCAACGGGTAGAATTACCCATATCGAGTCAAAGACAGCCACATCAACATCAATGGCAAATGACAACCCGCCCCGGATAATAGGCAATACCACCACTGAGGATGGACGGCAAAGATTCCAAGCGGAAAGCAGGGCAAAAATCTTGCTTCAAGCCCTATACCGCCAGATTAATCTGTGTGCCAATGTCCAATGGCTGAACTGCCCGTCTACTCGTTCGAGTCGGAGAGTACTGACTGACCAAAGGATATACAAAGCCAAGCGTAATCAGAACCATGCTGCGAAGGCTCTGGATATGATCATGAACTTCAATAAAGGCGGAAGAGGGCCACCAACCTTCGAGAGAGAGGCGTTTTCTCGCCGGCTCAGGAGACGCAAGAAGTCGAACACACCGGAGAGACTCATGAGACTCCAAAAACGCCTGGTTAGTGTTTGGAAGAGCTTCAGTAAGGATCCAGAGGTGTTCTCAATATGTGCACGTACAATTGTGTTCAGGGGTGCCGCTTTGAAGGAAACAGATCTTGTGTGGGAGGCCTTCGAGAAGCTTCTGGAAGAGAATTTTGTCAGTATCCTGGCGTTTGCGCAGACGAGGCGCCTAGACACCAAAGACACCAAAGCCTTGCTCCCCTACGATGGCCCGATTCCAGGCCCTATAAAGACGGGAGGGAGGGATGTAGAGACGCTGCATCCGCACGAGATTGTGGTCAACCTCGAGCGCCAACATTTGGAACGACGTCGTTTCGAAAACAACTATCAAGAGAACATCGGGAATTACAAAATTCATCCGACATGTCAAGATGATCCAACGTTACGCCGGCCATCCGATGGAGAGTGCGACGTTTGTTCATCGGACACACTCTGTGACTGCACATATCCGCGATATCCCGCCTTATTTCTCGAGCTGATTGAAACTGCAGATGGTCGGGGGGTTGGAGTGCGAACCCTAGCTAAGTTCACCAAGGATACTATGTTAGGTGCCTTTATTGGAGAAATTTTATCCGAGAATGAAGGGTTGCAGTATGATCCAGTTTATTGCTTGAAGCTCGCGGCCAAGACTTCCAATACCGCGAGGGCAGTTATCTGTCCCAAATGGTACGGCAATTGGGCTCGATTCGTAAACCACTCCTGTGAACCATCTGTAGAATTCCGCTCCCGCACGATTGGAAAACAAATATACATGATGATGGTGGCACTGAGAGACATCGAAGCGTTCGAGGAGATTACGGTCCACTACGGCAAACGGTACTGGAGAGAAAAGCAGTGTCTATGCAGGTCACGGGCGTGCAAAGACAAAAAAAAACCGATACCTCAGGGCGAACCGCATCCGATACCAACCATGCCACCGAATAACCCTTATCGGAATTGGGAACTCAGGAGCGAGCACGGGTGGGCGGAGTGGGAAAGACTGTATCGGACGGAAAACTGCTGATCGGGATAAATATGATGACTAGGTACTATTATTATTATGAATTTATGAGAGGCGTTTTTGATTGGAGAAAGCGTAGTTAGCTGTGGGCTCCCAGGGAGGCAAGGCCCTTTCCTTGCTGGTTGTTGTGGTCCTGTGTGTGGAGCAAAGTTTGTCTAGATAAGTTAGACAAGTGGATGGATAGATAAATAACTAACTTATGTAGATGGATGGATGGAAGAATGGAGGTTTTGAGGTTTCTCGGCAAACACTCTTTGGATGCCGGCAATACTGTATGGCGGCGAAGGGGCTCGGGATACGGTGTTTCTACTTTAACCAATAAACTGGGTGTTGTATAAATAATGAGCTTAATGAGCTTGTCTGTGCTGCGTTTTATTCCCGTTGTTGCTATTAAAACGTAACTAGAAATGATACTGTAGGAGATAACTTACCGAAGCTTAGAAAAGAGATCGAGGCGGCAGGCGGTGATATTATTATCTCGCTGGTTGTGTCTTCTTCGCGTCTCCACAATCCCCCCATTTCGTTCACCAATGCCCCCCTAATCATAACCCAAGCTGTGCTCTGGACTGCGGGGAAAGACCAGAGCCACTGTCCACAGAAGAACAAGGGGTCGCCGGAGCACCGGAGGCATGAATGAAGGTCGGCGACACAGCCATGCCACACAAACTTGCGTGAGAGCCGAGCCGCGCGCCGCCAGCAAAGGTGCATATATATCCCAAGAACAATACTCCTTCGCTACGACTGCCTTTTGTCACAGAGAAAATTCGTACTGGGGTCTCTTGAGTACGCCTAACGGAGCTGCACAACAACATACTACCACAACCTCCCTTCCCGAGCGCGTTGCCTTTCCCCGCATATTTTGGCTGCCGCCGGAGCGTACACATACCCTGAACTCCCACGTCGGTGTATGATATGATAGCATTTCATTCACAAGTATCTGGTTCAGCATATACAGGCAGTTCACATCCGTAAAAACAATGCGCGGGTCCTTGGTTTGGCGTCTTCCTTGCAAGGCAAGGGGGAGAATAGCCGGGTTCAGAGTTGGAGGTTATTGTCTCCAAGTGCAAAGGCGATCTCTCCTGACGACGAGCCATGCCAGGGGACCTTCAGAGGTTAGTAAGCCTGCTTAGCTGCTCTCTAGAGCATTTGGCTTCATTGCTTTCTATCTGGTCCTCTTTGTCTATGGTTAATTTTGATATTGTTTTTCAGCATCAGTACTAACATCATCACTGGCTGTTTTTCTGGCATGCCTTTCTATTCGTGATTAGCCCCCATTGTTTGAGCAAACCGTTGGAGAACATTTCGCAAACGTTGTATCCAAATACGGGGACAGGATCGCGTTCGTTATCCCTCTACGACCCCCTGGCACGCATCATCCTATACTGATTGGTCCTATTTAGCGTCATATCGAGGCATCAGGCGCAACGGCTAACATATGAAGAGCTGGACCGCAAGAGCAATGCGCTGGCCCGCGGGTTGGCCGCAGGTGGGCTTTTGAAGGGTGATCGAGTAGCTGTTTCGTTGGGAAATAGTACTGAATATGGAATTGTATGATACGGATGTCAAAGCTCCTAGTATATGGACTACAGGTCAAAATGCTTACTGCGTTTAACCGATAGGTTATATATGCATTGTTCAAGCTTGGAGCTGTGCTGGTAAGAGGAATCTTACCCCGACAAGACAAACAGTTCCTTTTTGCGCGTTAACACGATTCGAAATGCTCTTAGGTTCCGTTGAATCCATCGTTCAACGTAGACCAGGTGGTCGCTGCCCTTAGCCATCTAGAAGCCTCTCACTTGATTATGAGCACAGAGGTAAACCTACCACGACGAGAACCGCGCTCTACTTTGCCCCTTCTTCAGCAAATAGTTCCTAACCTCCTTGCCTCAAAACTCGAGTCTCAAGCCATCCCTTCTCTAAAGAAGGTCATTCTTGTCGACAATGACGATGGACGCGTAGACACCACATCTTTTAAATGCACAACTCCATTTTCTGCTCTATCTTCAGATCTCGCGCAAGATATGCTTCCCATAGCACAGCAAGGGCTTTCTCCACATGACGTCGTGAACATTCAATTTACATCAGGCACCACTTCAATGCCAAAGGCCGCCTGCCTAACTCACCGATCGATTCTAAATAATGGCGTCCAAATCGGTGATCGTATGCTGCTCACTCCGAATGACATCATCTGCTGCCCACCACCCTTATTCCATTGTTTTGGAAGTATTTTAGGATACATGGCGACCGCGACCCACGGCTCAGCCATCGTGTTTCCTGCCGAATCCTTCAATGCCATTGCTACTCTCAAAGCAGTCCAAGAAGAGAAATGTACCGCTCTTTATGGGGTTCCTACGATGTTCGTTGAAGAGCTGGATCTCTTGGACGAGGGAAAGGTGCCATATGAAAGATTCCAACACCTACGAACAGGAATTGCAGCTGGCAGCAGTATCCCAGCAGAGTTAATGAAAAAGCTCCACAAGACACTTAATCTAACGGAACTAACCATCTGCTACGGCATGACGGAAACCAGCCCCGTTTCCGCCATGACGACAACGGATGATCCCATTGAAAAGAGAATCTCCAGTGTTGGGCGCCTCATGCCCCATGTCGAAGCGAAAGTGGTGGACCCTCATGATAGAACGATAACGCTCCCAGTCGATACCAAAGGCGAGCTTGTCGTAAGCGGCTATCTCGTCATGAAGGAATACTGGGGTGCTCCAGAGCGTACAGCGGAGGTGATGGTGAAAGATGAGGAAGGGAAAGTCTGGATGCATGTAAGACTTTTGCGTAATAATACTAACATTATCATGGGGATATCTTCATCACAGCTATTTAACGTTCAACTAATGCCTTCCTGAATCTAGACTGGTGACGAAGCCTCAATGTCACCGGACGGATACATCTCAATCACTGGCCGGATAAAAGACTTGATCATTCGTGGTGGCGAAAATATCCATCCCTTAGAAATTGAAAACTGTCTCTTTGCCCATCCCAGCATATCAAGCGTTTCCGTAGTTGGAGTTCCAGATGACCGTTACGGAGAGGTGGTGGCTGCGTTTGTGGTTCAACGAGAAGAAGCAGAGGCGAAGATTACAGTGGATGAAGTCAAAGACTGGGTTCGAAAGAAGCTAAGCCATCATCTGGGTCAGTTTTCTGTTTTTTTATTCTTTTTTTCAAAGAAAAAGAAAACCCCCCCTCTTTCTATTTGTTTTCCCTACCTCCCCCGTATAACGTCCCGAAACTGCTGCTACTCTCGTTTAGAGGCTCAATTCCATTATGAACCGTGGCTGTCTTGAATCCGGCCACGACTCTTTCAACAATATGACTCTGTTCCACGTTCCACGCCACTTCGTTGCCAATGACTGGAATTGACCCATGAGGTGCGATATCATGGCCTGCTCCCGCAGTTTGCTGTCTTTTTACCGGCTGCCCAAATGCGCCAAGATTGTCAATTTTCAGATCATCCGTTGCTTGTGGTGCTTGTTTTTCGGCACCGTCTTCTTCAAGAATGGTGCTCCCCCACAGCGAGGGGGTCATAGCTCCATTTCAGACCCAATCGTTATCATCATGAGCCCTGGGGCTTTCCACACTACAAAAGCCTCCCTCGCATCTTCAGTTGCAGTCCCCCAGCTCCGCTACGCCTTTCGTATGTTTAACAAAAGGTTTTCGTGTTTCGCGGCACTTTTTCAGACCGAAATTTTCAATACAAGATAACATCAGCTGCAGCTTGTGTTTGACTGTTGACCAACAGGCTTCCCCGCCACTATTCGCCCCAGAATTATCCCATATGCATTGACTGCACTTCTCTTTCCTTCTGGCCCGCTTAGTGGCCATGTTCCCTATCCCTCCCACCTTCAATCACGAGAACCTGGCGTCGGTTGATGTCGCCTGACTCCCTCTTTTTACGCTCCTTACTTGTTTTGAGCATTTTAAAGCCGGCCGTATCAGGGGCTCTCGATTCCTTCTCCTCTTCCCTTCGTATGGCAGCGGATATGTCAGTTCGTTCTCGTCCAAAAAGAAAACCACATATCCCACATCCTTCCCATTCCCAACATCATAATATCTTCAGGCGTTGGTTGGCAGTTACAGCGTGTCCAGATTGTTGTGGAATTTGTAGCAGAAATGCCGGGTCCCCTCTCTCCCTCCCCCACGCTTTGGCGCCCCTGCGATGCCTTTCTACATCTTCAACTCCAGCCAGTCGGTTCCAGTCAGCCAGGCCCATTATTGCACTCCTCTCACCGCACTTTCCCATCGCTTTCCCCCTCCTTGCATCCACTTACGTGACTTACCGCTCAATTTCTCCTGCCATTCTCAATTGCATTACTGCATTCCATTACTATCCCCCCAGAGCAGCTTTTTTTTTTTTCCCTTGCAACGGAACTGTTTCCCTCAGCCTGGTTCCAGGCAGAACCTCTGGCAACGAAGCAGCAAGCCAGCACCGATAACCCACCACCCCTCCCAAATGGAGGGACAAGACGTGCTAGTATCCTGTGAAAAATCAGAAAGAATATCAACTAACCCAAACCTCCCCCCCCTCATTCTTTGTGCACATACAGTACCAAAACACGTTTTCCTCCTGAACGACGCAACCGAGTTTCCCAAGACGGCAACCGGCAAGATTCAGAAATTCAAGCTTCGTGAGCAGGCCATTTCCCTGCTGCAGGGCACAGAATGATGATCCGATGCGATCATAGGGTGAAATTTTTTGTGAGGAGTGATTTTTGCTACGATTCGTCAATTCAATTGATCTCGGAGATAAGCTTGGGTTTCTTTCTTCCGCGGATGCCTACACCGCAAGACGAACGAAGCGAATACGAACTAAGGCATCGATGAGTGGGTTGGACCTTCGATGGGCAACGACGCTTTTCTTGTCTTTGTCGTTGGGTAGTTGCATAATTATATTTTTCGTAGAGGATTTGCTACCATTTTTGTGAATATTCGCGTGAATATATATCTTCATCATGTTCTTAAGACTCTTAGCAATTTTAGCCACGCTACCCTATCCTAACCATCGTCAATTAACTTGGATTTCATAGGCATTCTTATATTTCTTATAAACCGTGCTCGTGCATACTCAAAAAAGTTATACACAGATAAGATAGTTAGGTAAACGGACATACATACATCCGAGGTCACACAGAGAGTAAGTAGTATTAAGTAGTAGAACACATGCAAACCACATGGGATCATAAACATATATAAGAGAGGAGAAGTAGCGGAAAGTAGCTCGGGACAGCATGAAAACTTTTCGTTTCAAATGAAAATGAACAAAAGAAGGGAGCTGGAGCACCCACCGTGGGTGTGGAAGCAAAAGTCTCAGCAAAAGAACAGCGGAGTATATTCAAATGACACCATGCAAGTTGCAACACGCAACACGCAACACGCATCACGCATCACACAGCTGCGGTTTCGTCTGCTCTTCTATTCTGTATTCTTTATTGCTTGCTGTCACGCCCGCAATCCCCAACCCCCTCCCCAACCCCCCAAAACTCTTCTCTCCATTTCTGCAGAATCTCCAACAGGTACCCGATGGGAAGCAAGGAGCCAGCTCTACGTCCCTCAGCGTCCACAGAGCACAAGCATGCCGACCATGATATATATATATATATATATGAATCCTAGAATCAAAAGAAAGTAGTCTGTCCGTCCGTCCGTCGACGAGATTGGGAAGGAAGTCCATAGAGAGCCGGTCGGAATATGAGAATTCCTTCTTTTCTTTTTCCACCTTTGACTCTGCTTGGAAAGACGACCCGCACAATAAAATATAAAATAAAAATGAGAAGGGAAATAAAAAAAAAAAAGGGAAAACCACGGAACAAAAACATAGGAGCCCGCAGCAAGCACAGACATGGCTATGTTTTCTTTTCTTTTTCTTTTTTTTTTCCCCAAATGCACGAGGAACCACGACATAGGGCGGGAAACAAGCATTTCGCATTCCTTGGCCCTTGTCAGCCAAGGATATTTTCTTTTCCGAGAGAGAGAGAGAGAAACACGGGGGGCCAGATAGGAAGATAGATTCCCGGCGTCGGAAGAATGAAAAAGAATTGATTTTGGGAAGGTGGTGGAAAAAAAAAAAAAAAAAAAAAAAAAAAAAAAAAAAAAAAAAAAAAAAATAAAAAAATCCATCTTCTCTGCTAATCTAATCGATTAACTATTAACTATCTCTGAAAAACCCTTCGCATCAAGGACACAACAGCGGGAAGGAGAACGGGGAAAGATAATAATGAAGATGAAGAAGACGTCATCGGCCGTTTATCCATCCAATGGATGGCATCCACGCCGGCCCGAAACAGAATCCGGGCGTTGTTGTTGCCAATAATAATTCTTAATTCTTCCCCGGAGCCTTTCTCCAAGGAGCAAGGAGATGATGGAGAGTGATTAATCAGATATATCTCTAGGCAGTGAGCGATGGATGAATATTAGAATATTATTGAATTCCGATGCCCATGAAAGAAAAGTCTAATCCGGTGTCTGTACAGAGTTATGGTAACCTAAGTAAGGGCTTGTAATGCGTCCAGGATGGTGAGGATTGTGAGTGACAGACTCAGTTAGGTTCACAGTTTGAGTGAGTGAGTGGTTGCGGTGTTGGTGGTACAGATAGATTGTTCTTGAAACAAGCTCCCAGGGGACACATGTAAAAAATTAATTATACTTTATACACACACACACACACATATATATATATATATATGAAATTGAGGAGTATTACTCGTAAAACGAGATAGTTAAATATTCAATAAATGTAATCAAATAACAGCCCAAATGGTTGAGGAGGAGGAGCACCCTTTTATCTATCTAGCTATCATCACACCCCCACACGATGCGAACGTACGTCAAGAAAAAGAAACCAAATAAGCTACTGTTCAAACAATAATCATTTAATAATATATTATTTCCAGGTTGTGTCTGGTTTACCAACAGCCTCACTCTGAATGGCGGTGGCCCTCTACCACCCCACGGGGGAATGGGTGAGTTATTATTATAACTATTTACTCTGTCTTAGCTGGGGAAAATAAATACAGAGTAAATTTCGGTGAAACTGAGCCTGGCATAGTTATATAGCTTATTTTTCCGCTGGGAGATTTTATATCTATATATTACTCGATACGATACAGTTATATAGTTATATTAGTTAGTAACTTACTTTTCTTTTACTATGAATGACCCTTTTGCCCGGCATGGCATAGCATGATACATGCATGGCCTAAACCTGACCGCCTCGATGGCGTGAGTGAGCTGTCACGTACCGTACACGGTTAACGGGGAGGGGAGGGTGTTAAAAGTCCATCCCTCGTGCCGGCTTGCCTCTTCCGGAACGAAATGGGCCAGGGACGGACTGACATGACAGTACATGTACATGTACAGTACATATATAGTACGCAAGCGTACTCCGCACAGCTACAGAGTATGTACTGTACTAGGGCTGTCATTTGTCCTCAAAAAATCGCTCATACTAAATGAAACCTTTGAATCTCTCTATATATTAAAGAAAAACCAACTTTTCCGTGCAAAAAACGCTGTAACGTGACCCCGCAGCCCCCCTACCTATCTTACCACTCACTCTCTTACCACCCCTATCACCCCTTCCACTCCGAACCCCCCTTACCACCCCTGCCACCTCTACCCGCCCTAGACCATAAAAAGCGTCCTGCTATCCCCCTATCACTTCCAGTCCATCTGCCGACCCCCGTCTTACGACTCGCTCAGGCCCCCTGTGCCAAAGTCACACCACTTGCGAAGACGAAGCCTACATAGGGTGGCCGCAGACCTCTTGTAAGAGGAACCACCCTTTGTTTCATCGGAGCAAGCTAAAGAATAAAACAGATCAAAGTGACAGTCCT